CTCTATTCAAACTTGGATTCTGCGGTGGTCGCAGGCATCGTGGGAAGTAATTTACGAGAGGCAGGCTCTCAGGAGCCATCGGTTACATATGAGGAGACCTGCACAAGCGCCGCAATCTGGAGCCACTGAAGAGCGCTAAACACCCCGCTGTGGCCTGAGCTGCGTCCTTGCTTGGGGGTGGGGGTGGGGGGGGGAAGCGGGGCTCAGTTCCTGTACCAGAAAAAGCTGTTCAGAAATATCTGGGCCCAAAAGGAACGTGGGAACATCCGCTAGATGCGCAGATCTGCTTCGTTATTAAAATCTCCCTTTAATATATTTTAAGGCCCAAATTGGAGCTCAGTGAATTAAGTGGGCATGAAACTGCATGGGGCCTAGGAATGTATGGATGTGTTAGGGGAGGTCAGCAGGGGTCCTGCTGATGGCGCCCATTGGTTACCGTTTCGGAGCTTGGATACGTGGCTCCGGCCTCTCATCAAATGAGAAGTCTGAACAATCCATCAATTATTGTCAGGGACAAAATCTCTCAGACCAGGGAAGGCTAGTGGATTTCCATGTAGGCCTCTTCACTGGATGGTTTTCTATTTCCAAGTAAGACGCTTTTGTGCTTTTGAGTGTCTTTGTGGAGAGTTTTGGGCAGGACAGGCTACCAGTTTTTTCTCTCTCACTTCACCAATAATTTATTGGACTCCTAGTATGTACCCAGCATTGACCCCAGAAGTTTACTTTAGGGACACCTGGGTGGCTCAGTCGTTGGGCGCCTGCCTTTGGTTCAGGTCATGGTCCCAGGGTCCTGGGATCGAGCCCCGCATCGGGCTCCCTGCTCGGTGGGAAACCTGCTTCTCCCTCTCCCACTCCGCCTGCTTGTGTTCCCTCTCTCGCTGTCTCTCTCTGTCAAATAAATAAATAAAATAAAATAAAATAAAATAAAATAAAAAAGTTTACTTTATTGTTAGTGGTAAAGAAAGGAATATGATAATAGTTACCATTCCCTAGATGCCAGGCACTTCTTTACATGAATTCTCTAATGCAAGCATCATAACCCCTGTGAAAAGAAGTTACCCCAATTTTTACAGATGAGAAAACAGAAGATTAGCAGGATTAAGTGACTTTGCTCAGGATCACATAAGTAACTCATCTGTTACTGACCTGCTTCCTTAAGAATAGGACAGGTGATGGGTATTTGGTTATCTCTGGGGTATATCTTTCTTGCCCAGCCAATCATCCTCTCTGGAAATTTTATTTTAAAAAGGACAAATAGGGGCACCTGGGTGGTTCAGTTGGTTAAGCGTCAGACTCTTGGTTTCTCAGAGTTGTGAGATTGAGCCCCGTGTTGGGCTCTGCACCTGGCATAGAGCCTGTTTAGAATTCTCTCTTCCTCTGCCCCCCTTCCGCCGCCCCCACTCGCGGGGGTGTCAAAAACAAAATAAAATAAAATATAAATATTTTTGTCTCTCTCCCCAAAATAAAATAAAATAAAATATAAAAAGGACAAATAGCTCTCTTTCTGGGGTCATTCTTGGGTCCAAAGACCCTAGGCCCTAACAGACTCTCCTGGCCCGAGGATTCTAGGATTCAAGGTTGGATCATATTTGGGCAACCATTCAGAAACATCAGGGAGTGGCAGGAGCCCAGGAATAAAGCCCAGACCCAGACCCAACCTGGCTTCCCCATCCAGGGGCCACTTCCTGTTCTTAACCTGCTCCTCCCCCCAATATTTCTTTTATCATACAAAGAGAGAGGGGAAAACCAGAGGCATTTATGAGGGCCCAAAACAAAAGAGCTTATAATTGAAATTTTTAAATTTGTTTAATCTGAGTAAATAATTAAAGCGAAACACATTTTTGTGTGGAATTTCTTTAGCAGTTTTGTGGTGACAGCCTCATCATGTTTAGAACAGGAATGCTCGAGGTGGAAGGAACCTTAGAGGTTATCCAACACAGCTCCCTCATTTTACAGGTAAGGAAACTGGTCCAGGTAAATTGAGCCACAATAGGTTGCATCTTGCCTTGCATTTTGTTTCTTTTCTTTCTTTCTTTCTTTTTTTGTTTTTTTTTTTAAGATTTTACTTATCTATTTGAGAGAAAGAGAGCACACAAAGCAGGGAGAGGGAAAAGCAGACTCCCCACCGAGCATGGAGCCCAATGTGGGGCTCAATCCCAGGACCCTGAGATCATGACCTGAGCCTAAGGCAGACACTTAACCTACTGATCCACCCAGACACCTCTTGCCTTGCATTTCTTGGTGGAAATAGACTTCTCCAGTTCCTAACCCAGTGGACCTTTCTTGTCTGACAAAGGTTTGACTGGCCAGAGAGAAAAGTACAATGGAGATTTCCGGATACCATTTTTCTGGACTAACCTCCACTTGGGTCAGTTCTTTTCCTCCACATGTGAGAGGCAGGTTGCAGAGTATAACCGAGTCCAACAAAGGAAGCCAGTTGGGGCTAAAGTGGAATGCATTTAGGATTCATGTGAGAGAAAATTCCGGAGATTGGGAGTTGCTGAACGTCTGAATAGACAAACAGCTAATGGTAGAGGGATCTCCTTTTTCTATCTGTCTGAATTGTTTCATTTGTGCTTCTTCGAGCAAGGGAATGGATTGGGTGGCCTTTTAAAGTTCCTTCCTGTCCAAGGACCGTTATTGAGTTAGGTGATATAATAAAGGTAAATCCAATCCGAAATGCTCCCCAAGCCAACGTTAACTGGAATGAAGCTTTATGAGGGAAACTCCAGTTGAGCTTCCAGCTTTTCATTTCCTCCTCTGACACGCAGGGATTAACAGCGTGCAGAAGGGAGGCAGCTGGTGTAGCTTTTGGGGGAAGAAATGCGCTACTACACCCGCAAAGGATAAAAATAGACTTAAGACCTTCCAAAAGATGGAGAAAGAAACCAGACAGAACCAGAGCAGCAGGGTATTCTCCCTGAATCAAACTTTGTTATATTAGCTCTCAGTACGGGAGGAGAGGAAGGGGGATTGGTTAAAAAAGACAGGTAGAGGAGGCTCTCCATGTTCTTTGGTATCTCTTAAAAATACGACAGCCATGGTACCCGCAGATAGCTCTGTACTTCAGGGCAAGTCACCACACAGCCCCTTCTAAATGGAGGAAAGGGACCCCCAGTGAGAAGCCATTAACAAAGGCAAAAGACATGCAAAACAAACAAAATAATCATGACCGAGAGAGAAGGCCAGCAGACAGTCTGGCTCTGTTCTCCACCCCCCCTCCTGCGGCAGGCACCTCAGACAATGTAAACAGTTAATTTGTTCACCTGCAGGCTCTGGGCAAACAGAGGCCTGGTCACACCTGAGTGGATAACTCGATTACCCCTGTAATGCCGGTGTGGTAATGTACACAAATTCTATTACAAGGCAAACCTTGCTTTCGGGCATTTGAAATACCAATCAGGCCAATGTCCACTCCCTTCTTTGCTTCCAATTTATTCTTGGTGTATTAGAGCTGCACCAGAATGGCACTAGGATGGAGCTGAATTAGGACTCTGGAAGAAATCACTAGAAGACTGTGATCGCAGTCAGCAGGGCTTGCAGGCTTCCTACTCTTCTGCAAAAGGTTGGGTCTGAATTTGGTCCTTGTTCCAAGGGGACTTGTTGCAACCCCTGAAAGTTACCTTAAGTCAGCACTGGTCTGTTTCCTGAAGACCTTATGGTATCTTTCAAATCGAGACAAACCCTTGGCCATGGACAGAATAAAGATAAATGGCAAATGATGGGTTAATAACACAATGGGTTTTCAATTTACCTTTATGGAATCCACATACTCAGTAATTAAAGAGCAAACGGTGCTTATTTAAAAAATGTGCTTGTAGATATTGACCGACCTCATAGAGAAAGAACTTTTTAGTAAGTTACTTCAGAACCTGTTTTCTTAGCCCACCTATATAGAATATGTATAATCTTTCTTTCTTTTTTTTTTTTTTAAGATTTTATTTATTTATTTGACAGAGACAGAGACAGTGAGAGCAGGAACACAAGCAGGGGGAGTGGGAGAGGGACAAGCAGGCTTCCCGCTGAGCCGGGAGCCCGATGCGGGACTAGATCCCAGGACCCTGGGATCACGACCCGAGCCGAAGGCAGTCGCCCAACCAACTGAGCCACCCAGGCGCCCTGTATAATCTTTCTTTACAAAGGATGATGATACTGAGCCATCAAATGGTAGCCTGTGAGTTCTGAATCATCTTCACATTAGTGATGGATCTGCAATAATCTATCCTTTTATTTTTTCCCAATTGTTTTATGATCAACAACACTACTTGTGAGATGGTTAGTTGGGGCTAGGGATTAACTTTATGACTGAGGAAGAGAATAAAGTTAGCTGGCTCTTGTGGGGTTGGATTCACTATCTTGATCTTACCAGCACTTGTTCAAACCGAATGAGCCAACTAGCTCTGACTGTCCCCCCCATCATAATTATATTACGGTCTTGTTTATCTGTAAATGACATAAGAAGATGGTTTACCAAGACTGAGTGTTTTGAAGAGAATTATACAGTAATAAATTATGTACATAATGATGACCTTTTAAGTACCACAAGACCCTAAAAAGAATAAATTGATTGGCATGGCTTTAGTGTTATTATCTACTTTATTGCATTTTTAAATTTGAAAATTAGTTCCTGAATCTGAATTTTCAATTAAACTTTTCCCTAACAATTATAAATCAATGGGAATTTACTTTATGTGTGAGGGAGCCATGTAATGCACACAAGAGAAATATATGACATGGAATAATTTTGGTTATGGGGACTACATCATTGAGAGTGAAAAAATCGATTTTTTAGAGGGGGGCGGGGCAGGAGGAGAGGGAGAGAGAGAGAGACTCTTAAGCAGGCTCCATACCCAATGTGGAGCCCGACGCAGGGCTCCATCTCACAACTGTAAGGTCAAGGCCTGAGCCAAAATCAAGAGTCGGATGCTTAACTGACTGAGCCACCCAGGCGCCTCCCCAAAATTGACTTTTGATCCAGACCCCACACTCTATGTCCTTACCTTGCTCAGAATTCGGATGAGGTCACCCCTTTGGAAGGACAGTTCGTCTGGCTGGTCACCATGGCAATCCCATAGGCCCTGGTAATAACTGGTATAGTCCACTGGTCAAAGAGAGGAGAAATCAAAGTTAAAAGGACTCTGTCTTTTTCCATGGAGCCCACATATTTACTGCAAGTGGAAACCAGGGTTCTAATATTGCCCCTAGGAAACCTAGGATTCCGGGGGGTGGGGGGAAAGAAACAGCCAAACACTCAGCATGAGCAAAGGACTGTGGGAAAAGGAGATCATTAACTAATATTAAATATTTACAGATTACCCTAAGTCAGATGTTATTCAATAATATGATAAATACATTCATTTATTAACAAAAGAAAAACAGGCAGGTAATTTTTTACTTGGTTTGTAAGTAAGCGGTGCAGAGATTTCCTGCCAGATTTTCTTGATCCAGGGCATCTAAACTATCCAGCGCTTGTCTTCAAAATGCATTTGAAGGAACGGGGTAAGTCTCCAACTTCTGCCTATTTACAGAGAGGCTGAGTCAGCCAGCTTGTGTCTGCATCACAATCTCACACATTGGTCTCTTCTGTTACACAGGAACTTCATCCTGGGCATTTCCCACCCAGATTCTGTGTGAGGTAATCCCCCAATAAATACGGTTACGAATAGCCCAGTCTTTAAGTGGAACCAAGGGGGGTGTCTCATCCATTACAACTAAATTCTGGGTGGGCTGGCCCTTTTCCAGCATCTCATTTGTAGACCCTGAACATGCCTGCCAAGATTTATCTGCAAGCCCCCAGGGGGACAGAAACCAAAGTGATCTGCATTAAAAATGAAAGCAACTGAAGAGGACAAACCAAGCTTTCGAAGCAGCTGGAGAGATTTACTGGGCTTCTCAGCAAGACTAGATGGCAGTGATGCTACAGGACAGCCATCGATTCTTAGCAATGAAGAATCTGTATTGATCTTCTTCTACCCGGAAAGGTTAAACACTAGAGCGCAAAGTGGGAGAGGATCTGGGGATTTGAATGGCAGGAGAGCGGATGCCCACTGGACCAGGGATGATGTGGCTGTGCTTCTGTTCCTTCGGATGCTACAGGGGAGAGCGGTCAGCAAAGAACCTACCAAAGATGAGATTCTTGTTGATGGGAGTCAGGAGTCCTGGGTTCTAATTAAAATTCAAGTGACTTTTGGGGATCCTATTTGTACCAGTTTCTACCTTTCCCTTTGTTTTGACCCTCCCATGAGGAATGATAGTGCTGGTCACTGAGGATGGGAATAGATGGGGGAAGGCAGGTGGGCAGTGTGGGTGGACAGACGCACTGGCTATGTTTACTTTCTAAAAATCTTGTTCCTAACTTATCAGCAATTCAAATAATAAAGGCACAGGAAAACAAGATCCCTGTGTGTATCTGGAAAAGAACTTTAGTAGGAACCTTAAAGTGCACAAAAACCAAGGAGGGACAGATCTATTTAATTAAGACTCAGATGCTGCAAACAGAAGTAAACATGTTAACCATATAGAAATGAGCATGTTTTCTTTTAAGAAGGTAATTGTATATGCAGTAAACAACAGAGGGCAGCAAACAAGACAACCACACTGGAAACCATTAGTTAAGAATGTGTTCAGAAGAAAAATACATTGGGAGAAAAATGCTAACTATTGGAAAGACAAGGCATGTATTTTGGGGGATACCAGGGCATGAAATAATAGAGAAATATCAGTCCCTGAAGAGTGAAAATAGTTTTCCCAGAGGATATATTAATGTATTTTTAGTTATAATGGAATTGATTAATCAGCTGAAGATTTTGACAAAATTAGAAATG